CTTAAGTAGAAAATGTCAGCAACTACAAGAACTCGTATTTCCAGCAGATCAAATCCGATCTGTCATGAACTGAAACAGACACTTTTCAGCACATCCAACAGAACTAATCCTGCATTTTTTTTTTAAATAAGAATTCAATTCTTATGTCTATGTTTTGGGGTACTCCGTACAGGAAGGTGAACGGTTAGACAATTCATCATTTAACCGATAAGCCCAGTGACAACTGGTTACAGCAGGGTGGGCAAAATGCGGCCCACAGACTGGATACGGCCCGCCAGGCCATTCTATCCCTAAAAAATTTAGAAAATTAATATTCATCTGCCCCTGGCTACCTGTCATGTGGCCCTCCATGGCTTGCCAAAACTCAGTAAGCGGCCCTCCACTCAAAATAATTGCCCAACCCTGGGTTATAGCTTAATGGATATTGTTTAGCATGGGGCAGGGAGCAGTCCGGCGGGGAAGGGAAGCCGGACGGTGCCCCAGCAGAGCTGGAAGGCAGCAGGGCAGGCAGGAGGGAGAGAGGAGGGGAAAGCAGGGTCTCGTACCTATACCTAGGCTCTGCAGATCCCGGTGCAGCTGCTTGCAGCCTCTCTGCTGCCTGCTACTCTGGGCAGGCCCCCGCTGCCCGCCACAGAGCCCAGGCTGCTTGCGGCAAGCAGTGGCTGCACTGCGGTACGTGAAGCCTCGCTATTAGGTACTAGTCCCCTTTCCCTCCTATTCTGCCGTCCAGAGCACAGCTCGAGTCCAGCACCATGGCGCCCATCCACAGACCAGGGCCTGGCAGGGGCAAGGTGGAGGTAAGAGAGGGTGCAGGGTGGCTCCGCCTTGCAGTGCACCCTACTCACCCACCCCATCCCATCCGTGCCCGGACCCAGGCCTGGAGGGGATCTGTCTGCCTACCCGCCCGGCTCATTGTAAGGCACGGCCCTGGGGAGCCACTGGGTCCGCACCGCACCTTGGGGGGCTGGAAGCATCCCGCTGGTGCCGGGCCAGAGGACCCCACATGGGCAGACGGGGGCTTTCCATACCGATTAATTGTTTAACTGCTGTAAATACAACAGATTAAACCAATACATTATTAATCATTATTTACATCCCTGACTCCATATCCTCAAACTCCCGGCATTACAAGAAGTCACTTAGATGCTTGCGAAGTAGAAGCACTGCTGTGTAACTTGCCCACACAGCGAGACAAGCAGCATTCCCTCATGAATAAGTCACAGGACTCAAGTTATAGCCATGACTGCTACTGACTCATTTTGCACCCACAGGCAAGACACAAGATGCCTCTGTTCCTCAGTTTCTCCATGTCTAAAATGGGGATAATGTTGCTTAACTACCTTTGCAAGCTGTTTTGAAAGAAGGGTGTGAGAAGAGCTATATAAATAAACAGCATTATTATTATTATGCACAAAGAAACCATGTTAAAGAAGAGATCCCAAAGTTAGGAAATTCCAGATTCCCGTTTTCTACGCATCCTTAATTTGGCCCCTTTGAGTGAAGTCATTATGACACTGTTTTCAATGATGTAATCGCACACTGTTTTTCTTGCCCATTATACAAATTTCATCTATTTAGCAATTATTCACTAGTAAGTTTTACCTTCCTTCCTTGTTTAATCTCATGTTAGACCTTACCTACTGAACAGTATTCAAAACCTGTTCTCACAACATAGTTATTAACATCTTCATCGGCTTTTGCAGCGGGTTTTCCGAGTATGAACTTATTATCCCAGCATCCTGTGAGGAAGGGGGGTTTCTCCCCATTTTACAGATGGGAAAACTGAGGCACAGAGACGTTAAAATCAAAGTATCCATGGAGTCTGAGACACCCGGGCCCTCGCTCTTCTGAGTACGTAGCACTGCAGAGCACATCTTAGGTTCAAACCACAGCTCTCACTGAGCTCTGCTGCAGCTGCAAGCGCTCAGCACATTTGCAT